GTGTATATTTATGTAGAAAGAACTAAGTTTTTACTTATAGGAAGATATCTTCATGTAAAATTATAGTGGAGGGAAGCTACACAAGGTTTATTTCAATGTAGCTAATTCGAGGCAACCTTAGATGGTCTCCATTAGCTGTGTAAGGTGACAGTTTAAATAGATAGTAGTCTAAATTCCCTGTTTCAAAACAGAATGTGAAACTCTTTTTGAGGGACAGTTTTTCTTCTGCGCACGCCAGCGAAATTCCTAAGTTGAGTGTGATTGACAGAACTGGCTTTTGGTGGAAAGCCAAGATAGAGGAACTGTAATGTCAGAACATATCTCCTGGGTTGAAAACAAAGCAATGTGCTACACCTACTAAAAGTTTTACAAGTTAACAATTTTATGTCAGTGCAACTACAATCAGCAATCAGATTGCTTTCAACAGCAACTGCGGGTAGACGTGGGAATGCTGCTGGAGGTTACCTTGCAGCCACTATAGTTACTGATCGACTCATACAATGGGATTCCTGAGCTCGCTCTTTCAGGAGAGCATTGGTACCAGAGTTACACAAACAGTAGTGGCCTGTCAACAGCCTGAAAGAGCATGCATCAGCGTATGAATTTTGCTGTTGATATTCTGCCTATTTCACATGCAAATTATCTACTGTAAGTAATCCACGCCTCACCTTATTATTTATGCTTATTTTGTGCCTTAAGGCTGTTGCACTAGTGGAATGATTTTGCATCCAAATTATTAGCCAAGGCAAAAGCAACACCAGATACCCAGAATTTATTGTAATAAGTCATACTGATTATAGGGCAAATCAAATGTATTATCTTTCCCTCGCTATTAAAGAGCTCTGGACCTCTCTGCTTGCCTCACGATGTCTTTTGCCTAGTATTTGTTAATGTACTACTTCTTATGGCAGTGGCTTATCAGAATTGAAAGATGTCCATCCTTGCCATCTAAGAACATTAAGCTATTTAAAGAAGAGTTTTACTCTGTCAGGACAGTTCATAACATTTTTTGGTTTTGTCTCACAGAAATTGTCTTAATACCACGGAAGCTCAGAGTAATTTAAGTGGGGGAGAGAACCGCGTGCAAGTCCTGAAGACTGTGCCGGTTAACCTTTCCTTGAACCAAGATCCTTTGGAGTCGTCCAAAAGGGAATACAACACAAATGTTTCTGGGAGCTCAACACCCATCACAGGGACTGGAGTGACTGTGGTTAAAGCAGAGGAGTTCACCCCTGTTTTTATGACCCCACAAGCACACTATGCAAGAGGAGAAAATGAGGAGCACCGAGGGGTTATCTTTGAACCATACGAAGTGTCCAACATTGCTCCCCACACAAATTATCTCAAAGATGACCAGCGCAGTACTCCAGACAGTACGTACAGTGACACCTTCAAAGACGGAGGAACAGAAGTAAGTTTTTCACCTCAAATTAGTATCTAAGAACTCAATAAAAAGCTGTAAACAAGATAAGGAGATTTGAGCTTGTAAACAAGATAAGGAGATTTGAGCTGTCCACAAGAGCCATTAGAAGAACAGTGATGCTTGTTTCAACAAATTAATCTCTGCTTCTTGCTGTGTTTCTGTCAGTCTGTGCTCTGATTATAGGGGAGCATCATGAGGTGTTTCAGAAGACAAGTTTTAAAGTTGTTTATTGGAAACTCTGAGAGTAATAGAAACTGATCTTTTGACTTCTGGGATATTGTGTCAAGTAGAGGATAGTTGCCATGCTGAAAAAAGATCTGTTATCTGTTAACAAGATCTGCCTTCAGACCTATTCATAACTAAGAAATAGTGGCCACTTTGTAACTGGGAAATTCTTAATGTTCTGAAAGCGCAAATGAGCAGTGTCAGCCTCTGCTGCTAGATAAACCCAAGTCGCTTATTCAGAAGCGGTCTGTTGCACTAAGCTCTACTCTGCAACATGGACAAGTGAGAAAAACGAGTGGAATTAGGTGACTAGAGGGGAGTGGAGAAGTTAACAGGCAGGGAAAGACTTGGGTGCGTGTAGGCGAATGAGGAGGAGAAGAGAGACAAGGAACTGCCGTGTAACTATTTTACACTGTTATGCTGAGGCAAAGTAATTATAAAGTCAGCTTTAGTACAGTGAATACCCTCTAGGTGCTTTTGCCTGCTGCAGAATAATGCAAACAAGCCAGGAAAGGTAAAAATTATTTAAAGCTGACAGTACCTCTGCAATAATTAGAGATATTAGGTGGTTAAACTCTCCTTGGATTTTCTCCTCCAAATCTATGAAATTGTAAATGTAGCAAAAGTACAAGGCAAGCTACATTAAGGCTGAGTTGCTCTGACTAAATATATAGGAAATTTACTGTGTGTTTGTGTAGGTGTGTTATAGAAAAATAAATTATCTCCACAGAAGTGTCGTACATCAGGACGTTTGGAGGTGAAATCCATTTTCAGATATAGAACACATTTAGGTCAACTAATAATTAATGAAGAAATCTAGCTTGCCATTGAAAAATCAGTAAGATCAAACCTTGGATTAGAAACATGGCTCTGCATTATTAAATCACATCATTTCAGCTATTTCTCATTGTTACTGGTAAATGGCCAGCGGTACTGTACCCATGGCTTTTCCTGGGGCACAGTAGGTGAGTGATTCTGTTATGTTGGTTTGTTCTGGGATACACTGCTGAGAGCTACTCAAACAGCCAGTCTGTGCTGTGCGAAGTGCTGTCGAATGTGCAAAGTTGTTTAACTTGGAGGTAAAAAGGGAATTTACATCTATACGTTGGCCCTCCGTCCCAAACTCCATGTTATGGTAATTTTTGTTACAATGGTAATATTTTGTTACATGTTTTTTAAAATGATTGGTTAATAACAGGATGTGATACTTGTCATCTGGCCTTTCTCTGCAGTCTGTGGAGAAAGAGGCAGTTCAACTCCAATTGCCAAAAGTGGATGGAGTGGTTGGCCGGGTGCACTCTCCTCCCCCATTAACTGTACGGGGAAACCGAACAACAAACTTTAACTAGATCCCTGTCTGTAGCTGTTAGGTGAGATGTGTGCCACTGGTAGTGGCCTTCCAGCCCCAAATGCTCACGTGCACGTGTCATGGGAGCAGGAAGAGCTTTTTCACCCTGCTGCAGCCTCGCTCAACATTTAGCCTGTCCCTTCTGTTTTTCTCAACTACCCAAATCCCAGGGTGGCTTTGCCCTGACTGCTTCTCCAGCCATGTGCTGGTGTGTAGGGACAGCTGTACAAAGCAGGTGTGGGGAGAGCGTAAGGTAAAATGTCAAAACTTACCAAAAGAGAAACTTGTGCTAAATCAGTGTTTAAAGTAGGAATACAGTTGTTCTTATTAGTTTTCCCATTCACTTGGTAAGAATGGCTGGGTTTGGCAACAGTAGATTTGCTCTGATACCTGTGCAATTTTTAAACGCATTATGAATAATATTTAGAAATTGTTTCAAAACATTTATTGAGTGACTTAGTTCTGTTATACTGAAGGAGTGCTGAGTTTTTATAGATCCCTGTGGTAGCAGACACTTCGATCTATAATTTGCTATGTTTTTCAGGTACAATTCTAGTAATTATATAAATATACCTTTCTCATCTTTTTCATATATTTATTTAGCTGCAATTAATTTATTAGTCCTTTATAGTATAGACAATATTTTTGAGGATAGGTAAGTAAATTGAGTGTTCTTGGCAATGTCAACTTCTAGCCTTCATATAAAATGTGACTAGCATTTTAATATGGGACCATCTTTATTGTAATACTCCTCAACTGTTAGATTTCTTAGAGTGTTTAGCTTGTCTATTCTACTGCTCATGGTTCCTTGACTTTTGATCTTCAGGAAATATTCCTAACTGGTACATAATACTTTCGCACTTAACTAGTATCTGACTGGATATTTGTTGTGGTGCAGTTGTACATAAGGCAAAATGAAAAACTGTTTTCAAAATTGCCTGAATTGGAAACAAAACAGCTTTTAATTGTTAACTGGTGATCACAGAAGAAAGTCTGGAAATTAAATGTAATGATCCATCAATGAATCAGAGAGACATCAGCAAAAACATGTTTCAGGCAACAGGCAAGCCAAGAAGTAGTAGAGTACAAATGGACTCGTTTACTCAGGAAGACTACAAATCCTTGCTTAGTCTGTGCAAAAAGGTTTCATTTTTTTTCAGTATTCTACCTCTTGATGTAATTTTGTTTTGATAGATGTGTTTTAATTTTTTAAAGGTGACTGTAGGTCTCCTTTCATCTTGTAAAGTGTGTGTTTTGCTCAGACAGAATCTTATATTGAAGGTAAAATACTTTCTTAGCCTGCATCACCACTCCTGTTCAAAATAGACAGCATAGCAATCTAAATTTTTCATCAGCATTTCATTGTAGGCCTTAAGGACAGCTGACGACACCTTTTTAAATGAAGCAAAATAAAAAGTGAAGTGTCTAGGAAAACTATGATTTCATTTGAAAATCTACTTATCTTTGAGATGGGGTACATTTTTACAGGCTTGTTTTAGAATATATTAATGTGTAGGCAAAGAGTTTAATAAGGTAGATGATGTTTTTCAGCTACATTCCTGTAGCAGTTAGGTTATGAAAAACTCTAAAAGCTTGACATAAAGGAATTATCTCTGTCAATTCTAGTGTAAATACCATCTAGGGTCCACTCCAGTTTTTAGGGATTTTAAATTTTAAATGGTTGATGGTTTCTTCTGAGGGGCCCTTAAATAAATATAATTCTACTTTTGTTGGTATTTGCATTTTGATTGTATCAAACTCTATTTAATTGTTGGTTTTATTTTTCAGAAGTATCGCAGTGTGTCAGTGGGGGCTGAAGAATATATTTACGAACAAACAAGGTATAGCATAAGCTTTGAAATGTGTTGGCTGGCATCACGTAGGAATGTATTGAGGAGAGGCTGCCTGTGTCCACTTCCCACCTTCCCTTTCCTCACCCTGGGGCACCTGCAGGGCTCCCTTGATGCTGCCCAGCATCACTCTCCCCTTCTCCTGCGCATATTAGCTTTCATATCTGACCCATTTATATCTTCATCTGTTATCTTCCCTCAGCATTGTTTTAAGTTAGTAACTCCTCTGAAGCCACCCAGAGATACCCAAGATTAAAACTGTTAAGAGAGGTCCCCTAGGTAACAGGGCACAGCTTTGACAGCCAGGTCATGGAAAATCTTCCCCACCTTTCAGGATGGCAGGATGCACAAGTCTGATGTCCAGGATGGTTGACCTGGCTCCTCCAACCTTAAGGAATTCCCATCTTTATTTTTACCTTCTGTTTTTTTTTTCTAGTTACTCCTAGTAGGTTTTCTGGGAAACCCTCTGTCTTCTTATCCTGCTTGTTACGGTACTTCATGTTTACCTATAAAATAACATAAATGAAGTATGTATTACAAAATGTGTAGAAAACCCTAAGAATTCCAAAAAGCTTTTTAAAAAGTTTCAAAAACTGAAGTTTGAAAGGAGTAGTGTCTTCCCTAAGCACAGAAAAATGCATGAGTAGACTGGGCAAACACTGCAGAGTCACTTTAACTAATAAAGACTGTGATCAGTAAAGTTTATAAGCTGATGCTTCACTTCATGCTTGTGAATAGTTCTGTTTATATCTGAGAGATTAGTCTCACTTTAGAAACAGGAACATGCCTACATGTTTTTCCTGGAGTAGGCATATGACTGTGTCTGTAGTGGAGGTTCCTTACAGCTTGATATTCTTTCTGAGGAATATTAAAACAATCATTAACTGCACTGAGCTCAGAATGGAGTCATTATATAGGCACAGTACATATGAAACAGATATTTGGCAAAGACTGCTCACTTACTGCACTGGATATTTATAAAATTGAATCTTAAAGCATTGGTATTGTTAACAATTCTCAGATGTTAAGTCTTTCATGCCATGGTCCAGGTCCACATTAGAATGAAACATCCAAATGCACATTAAGAAAAATGCAATACATTTTTTCCTGGGAGTTATCTGGAAGTGATAGGTGCTCAGAAAGGAAACCTTCAGATTGAAGGGAAAAAAAAGGCAAAAAAAAAAAAAGCGATCAATATGAAAGTAATTGGAAGCCTGATAGAAGATTCCTTAATGATTACACGGGGCCTTAGTTAAGACTCATGGTGAGATTCAGAATAGTATTATAATCATTTGAGTAACTGCAATAAGTTTTAAGGGGACTAGTAATCCTCCTGCTATAGGGCACACTTTGATTGCCAGCTGGGAACAAGAAAATTCCCAAGTGGTACGACACAGAGACAAAATTGGCTAGGTGCAGTATGTCTGGGATTTACATTTTTTGATGTCTTTCTGAAACATACAGGATGCCAGGAAACAGAAGATCAGACCATGGCAGACTGTAGGCAGCTCTGTTAAGACACTGTGTGTCTGTCTTTGGTTCATCCTAAGCTCTTGTCAGCATACATCCTCGTTAGACCTTCTGTCTGGTGGGAGGTTTTGAGGTGCATCACTGAGGGCACTCAGCGTGCTTTGGTACACGTCATGCAGCAGTCTTGCAGCATGCAACCTACCATCCTGTCATGTGACACTAAATCAGGGGATGTGCCCCCACCACTAATGGGCAATCAATCCATAGGTCAAGTATATGCAGCAGGATGGATGCTGGGTCTGCAGCACCAGTGGTTCTGCTCTTCCAGTCCACTCGGATGAGAATGTACCACTTGCCAGCATTGACAGAGCCTCTGCTCCTGTTGCACACAGGGCAGAGGGACTGTGGCAGTGCACACTGCAGTGGGCAGCAGTGGAGGGGACCACACTCTCCTTCGTGCTGTCTTCCCACTGCGTGTGAGAGCCTTTGTGTTGGCAGCAACTGCATTGTTGGGACGTGCTGGGACTGCCATCAGTGGGTTGGAGAGGTATAGAGCAGTGTTTGCTTTTCACCTTAGTTTTGCTTTGATTTGTAAATTTTAAGCAGCTAGAAAAATGACTGGATTTCCATTTATAAGCTAAGAAACACTTAGAAATTGTCTTCATTTGATTGAATGATTGATACTAAACTAAATAATTGATACTAAACTGTCTGAAACTTCTTCCTTTGGATGGAAAGGCAGTGTATCAGGTTTTTTTTCTTCTACCTTCTCTTTAAGTGGGGATTTAAATGTTATTATTCATGCATTTTAGTGATTTCCCCCACCACTACCTCCATTGAACAGTTAAGACTGTTTTTGCCCTTCCCCTTATTTCCATATAGCTATGGCAGTGTTATGATGATCCAGAGTATTTGCTTGAACTAGAAAGTTAAGGACACACTGTTGTTCTGGACCAACATATTTGTCCTTTTGGTTCTACTCCAGCACTGCTTAAATACTTTGCTGAACTAGGACCTTTGTGAAAATGCTTCCTCTGTATCTCCAATTTGTGAGGACATCCTGCAAGTGACTCCTTGCATTAAGCTTCCTGGGGTGACCAAATACAGTTTGAAGAGAAGTTTTATTCTGCAAGGTTAACGTTATTTTTCATTTAAGAGAATGTGAGGAGCTGCAGGCATTGTTTTTATTGGATTATTGTTCAAGTCCCTTCTTGAAGGAGGTGGCTGGAAGAGGCTCTGTGAGGATTGTGTTCAGCTAACAGTTCACTAGTTAATGGAGCTTTAATGTTTCATGGTTTGAAAAGGTTTAAAGGTGGAAAGTTCTCCTCTGAAGGAGGGTCTTTTCTAAAATCTGACTTCTAACACAAGAGCGAACTCTCTTTTTCTCTAATTTTTGTCTTTTTTTAAAGGGAGATTACTTGATTGCAGATACAACTAAATGTAGGTACTTTATTCTGTCTGATTAATTTTGAAAATAAGGTTTATTAAAACCCTGATTGCATGTTGTCTTTAAACAAATGAACCTACTGGTCTCTTCTGGTTGTATTCCTTCTCTGCACTGTGCTGAAAGTAGCAGTTGGACTTTCCATTCTCTGTGCCCATCGTTTGCAACAAGTTTTATTCTGTTTTTGTTTGGTTGGGTTTTTTTGTTGTTTTAATTTCTCTTTCTGTATCACTTCTAAGTTTAAATGTCTGTGGAGGTAGCTGATTTCCTGCAAATCATACTGAATTCCCTCCTGGTATTTGACACTCTCACTGCGGGGTACATAGTCTTGTTCTTCATGATGGTTCTTTTCAGAGGAAGTAAAGATGTAGTCTTTGATCCAAGAGACTTACAGTTCAGATAGTTTTATACTTGATTGTCAGATCTGATGAACTTGAAAAAAGAAAATTGCATTTTTAAATACCTGTGTGACCTTTTCTTGGAATTTTATTATTAGTGTCTTAAGCCTTGCTTATACAATGCATGAAATATGTAATAAATGGGGACAAAGACAAAAGGAGAAAGTGATATGGATTTTGTTGGTGTTTCTCTCCCTGTCTTTTCAGCAGCACTTTTCAGTACACATTAGAAGCTACCAAATCTCTGCGTCAAAAGCAAGGGGAGGGGCCCATGACCTACTTGAACAAAGGACAGTTCTACGCCATCACCCTGAGTGAGACGGGTGACAACAAATGTTTCCGACATCCCATCAGCAAAGTCAGGGTATAGTCCAATTTCTTTCCTAGATGGAAATGGAGCTCTGCAGATAAATGTAGTTGTGGTTGGTTGGGTTTTAATTATTTTTTTTTCTTGCGGGAGAGGACAGAGCAAGCTTACTCTTATGCCCAGTGTAAAGGTGGGAGAGTAATAATGATGCTGGTCCCAAATATTTGGGGTCCAGTTTTTTCAAAGTGTGATCTTATGAGTTAATTATATACGTATCTGCCTCAGTTTATGCTTTGACAGAATGGTAATTGCACAGATATTACACTTGACATTGGTGAACTTACCATCGGCATGATTAAAGAAAAAAATCACAGAACTGCTGCTACATCTACTATGTAAGTCCATCTTCACTCGTGCACTTCAGTGGCTGCTTTCCAGTGCATTTCAGATAAAATGTGAAGAGTTGAAGCCATCCTTTGTGACATAAATTTTAAACCACTTACATCGTATAAGTGTGAGTTTTCACTTGATATTCACCCAGAAGTATGACCAAATGGATGATTTGCATCTTAGATTCTGCGGGCAGAACTGGAGCTCGGTATTCAGCAACATGTGCCTGGTGAACAGGCCTCCTGATTTCCCTGGTAATGTTTTTGAGTAAGCAAATCCTAACACAGTAAACTTGGAATGAATAATGAGCCTCAGAGTTGCTGCTCTGCAACTTTCACCCTGAAGCTGGAAGGGCTGCATATGTATAAGGCTGCAAAAGTGTTTCCATCCAAATAAATGAAGTTCTGTAAAAATGTTGTGACTTTAGTTGAAGGAACCAATGCATGTCAACATGAGCAATGAACATGAGCAACAACCTATATGTTTCTATCATACATGAAGTTTAGAGAGACTCTTCCTAAAGAGAGGCAATGATTTGTAAACCTGAATAGCAGTTAATTTTTAGCCTGGTTTCCTAAGGACATGAGGCTGATGATGGCATTTCGTTGTTGGCTGAAGTTGATGTAAGACTTCTCTTCTACTGAAAAGTCTCTTTACCTGCCAGCCACCTGTTCCTTCCCCCTTTGTGGTGCCAGCTCTTTCAGTACAACTGAAACAGGAGTCAGGAGCTCACTGGTCTGGCTGAAAACCAGTCCTCATAAGTCTGATTCACTGCACAGCCACATGGGTTTTGAAGCTGTGGCAGCAGAAGGGTGGAAATTGTAAAGGAGAGATGAGACCATTTCTTTTGGAGGATGTACAGTTTACAGAAGATTGCGAAACCAAATGCAACTTTCATGATCGTGTTCTGTTTGCCAGGCCCCCAGCCAAGCGACTGTTGAATTTATTGCCAGTTCCATCCAAACCTGACAGAGGGGCAAGAGGTTTTGAAGGTATCAAACCTCTACAAGTTCCATGTAAGTGGTTCATAGAGGAAAAAAATAATGCTGTCCTTGGTGGAAAAGCTACAGTCTGCACTGCCAGTTCTGGTTAGTGCATCAGCTGGCCAGGTAATGCATACTTGATGGCCAGCCAGTATATATATACATAACTCGGGACTCATCCGTGGCATGTACTGCCTTGTGCCCACACAGTAGCTAGACATGGAAGACACGATGATGTTCAACTTTTATAGGTGGAATGGAGAAGGTCACAAAGCATGTCAAGGATTATGGTGGTGATCATGAATCAATTGTGATCCAGCTCCTCGGCTTATGAAACTGTTGGTGTTTTTTGAGCTTGGTGACTCAGGGTTAAAGGAAGAATGGGAACAAAAGAGGATATTTAAAAGTGATTTTTTTTTTCTCTGTGATTTCTTTTCACTTCAGTTTACCTAGTATGAACATTCTTTCATTGTTTTGTGTTTTTTGTTTTGCTTGCCTACAGCAGGGCTTTTTAAAAAAGCCTTTATTACTCATGTGAAGTTTTGCATAAAGTTTCAACTTGTTTCCTTTGAGTCACACAGTTTAACAAAGGGAATTCAGAACTTGAACTGAAAAGCTCAGCAAATCTCAGTAAATAGTCACACCGAGTTTGTCATTGAATACATGTATGCAAGAGTCCTGCTTCTAAGAAGGGTATTTGGACTATGTATGCTAAAACTATAAGTGTCCTGCCTTTAGCCAGTGAGCCTAAGCTCCATAACAACACATCCCTTTACAGTGTGATGTCATCTTCCAGAGAGACAAGGAATCTGAACTCCAACACTTTGACTGGACTTGGATCAGAATTGGAATTGGGGATCCTCTGACTTGGAAATGACCACTTTTTACATAAGGCAACTTAGACTTCTTAAATCTGAGAATACGATTATATTTTATTTCGACTAATAAGAACATAATCCTAGGTCCTGTGTTATTTTAAAACTATGTTTCTTCTGCTCTGAGATTTTAAGTGCATTGCAATATTGGACTGGAATAAAACCCAGCAATCTTCTGCAATCCAAGTGCTGGGGGAGGGCGGTGACTGGGTCAGCATTAGAGGCATGTGGGAGATTTTATTCTTTGTGTTTCTAATTGTTAATTACATATTAGCTAATGCAAATTCTGTTGGTTTTCTTAGAGCGTGGTCATGGTTGTTTTCAGTGAGGATAAAAACAGAGATGAACAGCTGAAATACTGGAAATACTGGCATTCTCGACAGCACACAGCTAAACAGAGGGTCCTCGACATTGGTGAGTGTAAGAGGATCTGCAAATGTTTCAAGGAAGATGGCAGAATGTGGAAAGCTCTGGTACCTTGCACAGGGATGGGGTGGGATATATTTGCAATAGCTGCAAGGCTTGTATCACAGTTGTTAGCAATGGCTCGTCCCTGCTAGAACTGGGCTACGGGGTCTATGAAGCAGGATGGAGACCATGCAGAAGGAATGGTCCTTAGTAGTTGCAAAGAAGAGCTGCACCTTGCATGCGTATTTGATAGTGTTCCACCTTCTGCTGCTGGGAAGTCAAGGTCTAGCCTCCTCAGGAGTGGCAGTGTTTGTTTCCTTTAGTTTTTCAAAGGCTGATCCACTCTTTAATCCTGTAGCAGCCCACATAACTGTTATGTTAGCTAATCTGATGCATAAAGGCAGCCTGAGAGTGAAGAAGCCATCATTATGGTGACTGCAAAGAAACGTACAGGACTGCTACACCCCCAGTTTTTGAGTCTTGTCAGTGTCAAAGACATTCAGGAGAAGTGAGCTCTGGTGTGCTTATCCTGAGACCTGTTTACCATTCATCCCATCTAAGGTATTTACAAGCCCATTTCAGCCACAACTGCCCTATCTGCATGCTTAGGAGATTTTAGCAAAGGAAGAACATGTACCTGCTGCCAAGGAGCCTGAAGTTGAAATCTGTGGGAGTGTCTAGACATCAAGCGCTTCTCCCTCCCACGTGCAGTTTACACACACAGCCATCTGCAGTGGATTCCAGTCAAGGAGTCGGCAAGACCAAAGCAGACAAAGTCTATCTTGTTTTGACCGCCTGAGGGAACCAAACCATTGAATGGCAGGAATGAGAGGGGGCAGAGAAGAGGGGGGAAAAAAGGTAGGGTTATTTGGAGAGAGCACTGCAAGGCTTCAAAGGTGACTGAACACCTCCAGTGCTGGGAATCAGTCCCTAAGTGGTCCTACTCATGCAGTGCCTTTCAACACTCAAATGCTGCTGCCTCTACTGAGGCTGGCATTATTTAAAGTCAAGTGTGTTTGGTCAAAGCAGCTCTTCCTGAATCTCCTCTCTGCCCCTTGTCTTATAATCATAGTTCTGGCTGAACTGTTTCCACAGTTTTTTTTTTTTTTTAATCCTTTGGGGTAGTTAAGGAAGTAAAACCTCCACCCCAGACCAAATGACTCCTATCATGACACATTAAAAGAGCAAGTATGCCACGTCACAGCTATTTCTGAAGGCTGCCTGGTTTTTTTGTGCTAGTCCCTACAAGCTTGCTGTGCTAATGCTCATACCTTCGAAGGTATGTGCTGAGGAGCTCGTTCTACTGCAGTGCCAACACCCTCCAACTCCACCGCACTTGTGGTGTACTGGCACATTTCAGTCCACTTACTTAAACGAGTCAGCTTATGCATATTCTGTAAAATAGTGCTATGCAAAACAAGTGCTGTACAAGAGCTGTGTGTTTATCTCTGTTAAAGTGAATGTCTTTTATGTTTCCATTAGTTTGAGATGAAATAGGTCTGTGCTGACTTTTGAGGCACTCTGGTACTTATTCTGTATTTGGACTGCAAATACGAGCAACGCTCAGTGTAGTAACTTACTGATATAACGCTCCCTGTCAGACGTACAGCTGTAAGAGCACAGTTCATCTCAACGTTTTCAGAAGAAAGACCTAGATGTTGCTCAGTAGTGTTTTCTTGAGAACAACTGAAATGCAGCCTTAGCTCTTACCAAGTACAGTGATTTTGAAGTACGTTTCATTTTCTTTGAGACTTACATTGTGGATATTTGGCTTATTAGGGCAGAATGGTTCCCAACTACATTTCCCATACAAGCGTCAAGCTGCATTTAGCAAAATCTTCCACTTTTCTCATCAGGTGATCTAATTGAGCAATTTCATCCAAATTCGAAGTTGGCCCAGCTTTGAGCAGGATTAGGGTAGGGGTTGAACCAGATGACCTCCAGGGGTCCCTTCCAAGCTAAATTATTGTGTGGCTCTATGAAGATTTCCCTTTACATTGAAAATTCAGACCCTTGAAGGGCTCCTATAAAGAAATACTGAGTGTCCAGGCCCCGTGTAGTTAACAGAGAGAACTAGGTGTCTATGAGGGAGATGATTAGCAAATACCAGGATACGCCCTGGAGAACCATTTAAACAGGCAGTGAGAGCAGCTTGCTAAGGACCGAAATGTGTATCAGATTTGTTCTATCTTCAGGGGATGGCCTGGCAATCTGCTTATAGCCCCACTTCTCTGTTATTTTGGATTTCACTCCAACTATGAACAGTATATAAAGCATTAATCATGCATTAGGCTCCTTTAAAACTATCTGTGAATAGCCATAAATCTGTATAACCTGTTCCATAAAGGTTTATAATAATTAATATTATTTTAACTTAATGTTTGTAGCATATGTTTAACATCTGTGAATCCTTTTTAATTGTTTATGAATGCACGTTTATTCTAGAGTATACCTTGCTCCTCAGCAGGCAGAGAATCAAATGAATTTGGGAATTGTTCTAGTTCAGGGGCCCAGCTGTTTAGCCCTTAGATGGGGTGGCAACTCTGCTTGTGCTGCTTTCCCAGGTGGCATAGGTTGGTCTGCCTGCCTTCTGACCTGCAGTTATATTCTGGAGGTCAGAGGAAACAGAGTGACTTGTTTCCTCACTCCAGACATGCAGGGGTCACTGCGTTAATTTGTTTTGTGTGCTGGCTGGTGCACCTCCTGGGAGGAAGGATGGATGAATGGATTAGATGCTGTGCTGGGTCTGAAGATGCATTGATGTTAATGGGATAAGCGTGTACTTACATGTAAGCAAGTCCTTAGTGCTTGAGGAATCAACCCGAGGACTTGACACTTAGTAAGCAAGAAGAAAAGGTATTTTCCAGAGTTTAGGCTGTGTGCTGTTATGGATTTTTCTGAAGAAGGAAGGAGGCACTTTCACTGTTTTTTAGCAGGAGTGTGTGTGGGAAAATAAAATCTGACTTTTCCACAGTGCTGTGACACTGGATCACTAGCTTTTTCTTTTAAAATAATGTCAAATAAAGAATTCAGTACTAGATTACAGCAAATATTATTTAGAATCAGTAATATAATTTGATAGATACAGGAACAGGTTCAAACACAGATATAAAGGGTGGGTGTGGAAGCTTTAGATTGGGGTTATATGTGCTCCAGAGTCTTGCCTGTATTTTTTTGCAGGATTGTTTGTGTTATTTATGTGCACAGTACAAAAACTACTACAATGGTATGTACTGCATGCAAATGATTGGTGTTTAATGTTGAAATTTGCCATTGTTTAATATGCAGTTTACTCAACAAAAGAGGAAACAATTCCTGTAGAGCCGTTTTTTTTGCATATTGAAGAACCCCAATTTTCTATTTCTGGTAACTCACAGCAGCAGAAAAGGAAAAATTGTAGTCACGCTAACAACTTTCAGATATCCTTGGATGTAAATGCTATCTTAATCTACTGAGGATCCTTTTTTAATTATCAGTAAATTGAGGGGAATAGGATGCACTTCTGCTTTTAAACAGCATGTCACATAGACTCTGCATGAGATTTGTGTATGGCAATTAAGAATGTGAAGGCATGTGCTGGGGGAAGGAAAGGGTTGGTGGGATGCGAGGTTCTGAGAGTCTTTTAGGAGAAGAAAACATGTGTCTTTACAAGACATCTTGTTCATGTCTTTCCAAAGTGCACCTACACAGCACGCCCATATGCAGCAGTCAGTTGCACGAGGCACTTTCTGGTGAATCATAAATTTAGGGGGTGGGTGGATGTGTGCGCATGCATATTAAACTACTTATGTGTCTTCTAATTCCTCTCATTTGCATTCCCACACTGAATTTAGATAGTGAAGCCAATGACTTCAGTTAGACAGGAGATCTGAGTTCACGATGGGAATGAAAAGCCTGCCTGCCCTCTCAAACACCATGTTCGCTTGCTGCATCACCAAATATCTTGTGCTGTGCCTATGGTCAGAACAGTGAATTATTTTTTACTGTATCCAAAATCATTCATGTATCCCAGGCACACAGTTTCACTTGCCCAGTGAAATGCCAGCATCCCTGCATTTCAGATGAGAGAAAAGTAAACTGATTGCACATCTCAAATAATTCTCCTTGCAGCAGTGGTTTTGTTATAAATGATTTTAAAACAGTTGTTACCTGGAAATTATTTTTTAGAGACCAACAGTTTATTTTTAGAAGGGCAAAAAAAAGCATATTGAAACCATTTGGGTGTCTCATTTATAGAATTAAAAAACATCATCTTTCTATAACTGATTAGAAAGCTAAGAATCAGTGTGCTTCTGAAGTGCAGATTTGGGCAAACGTTAGATCAAGATTGCTGCATGACGTAATCTTAGCCCTCTGGCACCGAGTCCAATTACAGCCATTACAGCCTTGGAGGGATGCTAAAGAAATGTATATGTCCTAGAGACAGTTGATGCATTTGCATAAAGAATCTGCAAGTTCCTTTAATCAAACAGATATTACCCCCTTACAAACCTGGTCTTTCTCTTAATCTGTCATCAAAAAGAAGAAAGTGTGTTAAGCTGGCTGGCAAAGGGAGAGAAAAAGGCGGCTTGTTCCTCTTTTTGCTTATAAAGAAGATCTGGAAGTTGTCTGTCTTATGTGATTTTCTGCCCTTACTGGTTTTAGTGAGGGGGCAGGTCATCTTTGAAATTTGGACTTCCTCCCTCTTGCTTTGCATTCCTTCTGAGATGCTAGTTTACTAATAATATTAACAGCCCTTTGGAAAGAAGTGAGAAGAGGGTGCAAATTTGGTAGTCAGACAATGTAAAAACACATTATGTTTGTTTGTTTGCTATTTTAGTATCATACACGCTTTGGAGAAAGGATCTTTGTGTTGTTTTCTTGGGGGTGTGTCTGGTTTTGGTTTTTGTTTTTTGTTTTTGTTTTTTTTTTTAAATAGCCATCCAGCGTCCAGTGCAGTGATTCCTGGGAAAGTTGAAATGGCTGGGCAAGGAATGTATGCTACTGGTTATTTCCTCCAATGATAGCTCTTAGCTTTTTAGAAAGCTTCTATAGGATTTACCATAATGTCATTTATTTATGTCAAGGTTTGAACAGTCTCTTTAAATGTTTCAATAGCTTTTAGTTAATTTTCCAGTTTTGGCCATTCCTTGGCCAAGCTAATGAACGCACCGCACCCACTCATTCCCACTACAGTCACACTGATTCCTTTTTGAGAGCAAGCAGTATTTTGCAAGAATGTTAGCTAGTGATGTACTATGCATAAGACTCAAGCTGCAATATATTACCTCTTTGCAATTAAGCTTATTTGTAATTTAACATAAACAATACAAAGAGATAGTTTTGATGCATTAGACAACCCAGCTGAAAAAGCAAAAATGTACTATGAATTGTAAAAGAGAAAGTTCAAATTTTTTTCACGAGTCTTTTGTTTCTTTGTTATTTCTTACAGCTGATTACAAGGAGAGTTTTAATACGATTGGGAATATTGAAGAAATAGCATTCAATGCTGTGTCCTTTACTTGGGATGTCAATGAAGAGGCAAAGGTGAGGAAAAGCCATGCAGATGGTATCCCTTTATAAGTATCATCCATCCTTAGTCACTCTTCTACTTATCTCCTTTTTAACAAATAACAGGAAGGGTAGGTGGAGGTGAGAGAGCTCAGTCTCTGCAAAGCCAGGCAAACCAAACCGTGGTCTTTCACTCACCCCAGGGATTCTGGCCATCCCTAAAAGGCAAGGCAGTACGTAACGGCTGTCAGGGTGATACTGCACTCACACCTGTATCGCTGACAAATAGAGATGTAGTTCTGAGGAAAACCTGCAGGGTGCTCTCACTGTAGTTTCTTACTTTTGGCCTCTCAGTGATTTTCCATTTAAAATAAGGCCAGCCTGAGAAACAGTAAGTTTTTTTTCCTACTTGCAAAGCCAGTGTAGGACACAAGGTGAATATTTTCTTTCTCTAAATTATAAACTTCCTTTCTACACTATAAACATTGGCAGTAATCAATATTCTTGTAACCTGGACTGTGCCTTCCCTTTGTGTTTGTGCCATTATTTTTTATAGTGTTACACAGATTGTCCTTGCAATTGGAAATGAAAGTGGTTTTGAGTACTGGTGCTGTCTGTCTGTCTTTTTTAGATGGTCAAGTACCCTCAGACGTTAGTGTTTTACATTTGGGGATGTCACTGCTATAGTGGACCTATAAATCAGGACAGCAGAGCACCTTAACAAGTTTCTTATAGATGAGGTTATCCAAAGGGTGGCAGAGTGTTTCAGCTGCATGGACTAATGTAGGAGAAATGAAAAGCTGCCGGTAATTGCAAGAAGTTGTCCTCTGAAAAGCAAACAACAGGGGAAACAGGCTGTGTAAAATGAGTGAGGGTAATGTGGGACTCTCGGGGATGCAGAAATAATAAACACGAAACACGTTGAGCTTAGCAGACTCCTTGATACTGTCTTCATGTTGAATACAAAATGCCCAGTGTTCAAGTAATGTCAAGGATCTTTCACATCCAGAGTCATCTTCATGCACGATTCCCCACTGCACTTCTAACAGAGCATTAGAGAGATTGCATCTAGCAAGTGAGTCCTGTGAGAGATAGCATCGAGCATGGAGTGGTAGCATTAACACTGCGCTGTCCTGACTGACTTGAAGGTGCTGAGCTTTGTAGTAACAGGGATTTTCATCTCTGATGCGCATTTTAAAAGAATAGAGCACTAAAGAAAAGACAATAGTTCTGAAAACCACCTAGCTCTTTCAAAAGCTGGCCTTGGTAAACAGAGCTGTACTTGGCTCAGTTGCTAATGGTGCTATAATTACTCATGTAATGATTACATTCTCACTGCCTTAGATATTCCCTTATTATGTGATTCCATTTGAAAATACAGCGGTATGTTGTCCTCTGCAGTCACAACAGATGACCATTGTGTGCGTGTGATCATTATGGAAGCAAATACAGCAAATATTTGGTTTGGGATCTCCAACACGATGGGTTTTCCCAAGGACCTTTACAGAAGCAGTACCAGGGCTACCGCGTGGCAGTCTCGTCCAACCGGTGGCTACTATCCCCATTGCCAGGGCTGGCAGTTCTTTAACACATTTGCATTTGCAGCTGCAAGCCAGACTTAGCAAGATACCATGTTGATCTAGGAGCAAGAAAGTCACATCCACTAATGTCAGGTGTTACCCTCAGCTGTTTTGTTCTAATCTCACACCATTCACATTGCTCCTGCCCTGGGTGAAGAACACAACTCTTGCAATGATTGCTGGAAATAAAACATAGTAAGATTTTAAAATAATGACTTTCTTATTGTTGCTGGATTAAAAAAGTGTCAGGAGTGAAATTTAAGAAAGCCACTTGTATTTCTGCAGGAAGTAGTCATTTAAATGCAAATTGGCTTATGCATATTTATTTCCTGGGGTAGTTATCAAATACCTGATCTTTTAGGAGCTTGAACTGCAAATGTATTGATAGAAGAAAGAGGTTTCATAACATGCTTTGGTATTGGGCTATCAGGCATAAATCAGGTTGTACCTGAACCGAAAGCTTATCACCGTGCACTGAAGTATTTCCCTCCCCACATACGTGTACACGTACCCACATGCTTGCTCTTGTTGGAGAGTCTAATACAATAACCAGTTGTGCTGCGTCTGGGGATTCCCATAGGATGCCCCTGCGGTGTTTGAAAGCTGTGGACTCTGAGGCACGTCACTGAAGGCTGTTTTTTCTCCAGCAATTACCTCATCCAAGAGAGATGAAGAATTTCAAGGCCTAATTACAGACTCTCTTAAGCTTTTTGAGCGATGATCTTTAAACTGGCTCCATTGTTTCTGCTCAGTGTTGTTTTCCCTTTTCACCGCAATTTCAAGATTAAAACTAACCTCACAGGCACAAAGACCTTTCTCTTCTGAGTCAGACAAAAGCGGCACAGAGCAGTTCTTTCCAGGGCCTCTGAGATGCGATGAAGCGCTCTGCTGGCCTGGGAAGAAATAAAGAAAACAGTCTGGTCATTAGAAGTGCACAGGGGAGCGATCTTGAAAAATCAATCAGGAGAAGCAGAAATCACCTAACCAAATATCCCTGTCTCTCCTGGGAGACTACATCCCACATCTAGGAAGATTTATCTGGAGCATTGGATTTCTCACTTTCCTACTCTGCCTGGAGGGCAGCTGATTTAAAGCCAGATTTCTCCTCCCACATGCAAGCAGAGCAGTACCCTCCTCCTGGAAGCCCTTCAGAACGAGGGTATAACAGCGTAGGTGTGACAGCCAGAATCTGCCTGTTAACAGTGAGTCTGCCGAGGGTTTGTAAGGCAGCATCTCAGCTGGATCTTATGTGGAAGAAACGGGCATTCAGAGAGTAGAGGCAGAGACCTCTCTTCATCGCCTCAGTAATGTCAAGGGAATTGGGGTCTTGGCTCCAGCTCCTTGTGCTTGGTCCCTCGTCATCCAGCTGCTGCTTGACAGAACAAGTCAATGGAAGAGGGAATCTTGTCCAGCACATGTTGAGCTGTGGAATAATCTCACCAGTGCTTTCTGTGGACGAAGGGAACAGCACCAAAGTCAGAAACACCACTCCACTGGTGTTTCCTCTGCTGTATCTCATTGACAACAGCAGTCCCCGTACCTTCTGGCAGAGCAGAGTTGGGCCTGGCACATCCTTACCTTTTTCTAGAACAACATCCTTTTCTGATGGGACTGTTGTTTAGAGGTCACTGCAAGGCTTGTGGTTCAGAGCAGGATAAAGGGAAACGAGGGAAGGGTCTACAGCCATGTTGAACTCTTCCTTATGCTGCCTTGAGACAAAAATACTGTGCAATACGAAAGCAGAGGTAGGAAGTGAAGAATACTTTCTGTACAGTCCATCTTTGTTTCACTCCTGTATTTACTTCTGTATATAAATATGCAACATTTATGGTCAGGGTGATTTGTTGGCTCCCTTTGGTTGAACCTGAATGCTATGTTTGGTATTTTTAAAGGAGTTCTTTAAAAAGAGGTGAGGAAACAAACAACAATTAACAAGAACTGGCTGACTTTTTAACCATCTTTTAAAAATCTTTTTATGATATGCTAGAAGGTAGGTAGTTCCTTTGCTGTTGCCCTGCAGAAGATTCTGCTGCAGCATCTGGCTAGTTGACAAAGTTCTAGTGGAGGCTTTTGAACAGAGCTCAGCTTCATTTTCCATAGACATACATCTGCCCGCTTGGAGTCGGATTGCTGACAGAAGTTAGTTTGCAAGAAAGATAGATAATTAAGAACTAGAACTCTCCTGGTCAAAGGAGAATATCTTTGTCATAAATCATACCAACTCTTTGAGATATGCCTTCTCTCTGATTAATACTTGTGATACATTAATTGTATATTTTCATGGAAAGAACTTTTTAACCTTAAATTCAAAGGTGTGACTTCAGTGAACAGTTGTTAAAGAAAAATGTCATCTTAAAGCAGGCAAAAATTACTTCTCAGTGCGAGTGAGAAATTACTGATTTATGCAAAGCGCTGCAACTTGGACATGCAATGAACAGACATGTTGGCGGATGTGTTTGTTATTCAGGCAGGTTCTGGCACATGCTTTTTGGTGTGTACAGTAGCTATGTGCTGTGAAGTTGTTGTGTATACTTGCGTGCAATCATTGTCCTGCTATATTTAACTGAAAGGTAGATCTTTAATCCAAAGCATGCTGAAGCTTCTGGGAACCTTTCCAGTTATTTAATGAGTTTTGGCATAGCCCATACAGTAATAAGCTGTGTTTTCAATGAGTGAGTGATTTGCAGGATTAGGTTCTTAGATATTGTGGGCCAAAGTGAGCTATGATTCCAGTGGGCACAACTGTAAAATCAAGCTGATAGAGCAGCATAGTCTCTCAGTCATTTGTATTGTGGCAATCTGTATTTCTTTAACATTGCCAGCAATACTTAGGACAAGCTTTGACTAGTATAAGAATTATTTTATTCCTAATTGTTAATTTCCTTCCTAACTTAGATCAAATTTTGTTTCATTAAGGAGGAAATTAGTATTTTCTTTACTCTCAAAATTTAAAGGTTGGAGGAAGATACTTTATTTGGGGGAATTAGTACCAGAAATTATGTAGGATTAGACTTGGTAACTGGTTTAATAAACCATGTCTGTATGTGTATGTGTGCATATATATTTTTTAAGATATTTATATGTTGTGCATGCACACACACATGTATATATTAAAGAAGAGTTAACCTGTGGTAGCAGATAATGTTGAAATTTCAGTGTATACAAATGGTTCGGTAAGTATGCATCTGGGATTCAAGGCAAATGGCATTTTTATGTAGTTGCCAGGGTGTGGTGTAAGTTGAGGAAGCTTCAAAAGAGTAGTGTAAACATTTGCTGGAGACATTCGTATTGAAATAAAACAAAGGTCTTACCTTTGTATGGGATTTATAAGGTAACGGCTGGCAGGAGAAACTATAAAACCACACTTTCTGTGTATATGAGGAATGATGGGATTGATGTTAGTCATTTAAGAGACAAGTCATTTAACTCTTTGTTGTTACAGTCTGGAGGATTGAACCCGTTTAAAACAGGGTTTTGTAAAGACTCATCACCCAGATGCCGATTCTATGTATTGCCAGTATTCAGTAGAGAAATTGCTTTAAGTTTCTGATTTTGCGCTGTAACACACTCTTCCCTCCCTTCTGCTCTTGGCTCTTTCTGAGAGGATGGGAGCCAGAAATGTAAATAGTAATAAAAGACTTATATTAGAGGTTTCGTAACTGTAGATGTTTAAAGTGTATAAGCTGAGAGACCGCAGCAGGAGTCATGTTGGCTGCGTTAAATGATAAAAGGGGAAATGCATTTCTGGGCCTTGCTTTCTCTTAAGGCAAGTTACTCTGTGTGTGTCTTGTACATCACTAATTATGCTGCAGTGTTTAACAAACAGTCAGTAATTCACATAATAACAGCTACACTGTGGAGGAGTGCCTTCCCCGAAAGAGAGAGTGCTTTTTCTAGACGTGCTCTATAACAAACAGAAGAGTTGTCATTATCTAGGCCACTTTTGAAACTTTCTCAGGCACCAAATGTTTCTCAAATTAGTTTTTCATTGCCAATGGCATGCCTGAGCTGGAGACTAGATGGGTGGAACTCTATCATTAATTGCTCTAATCTAAGATATGCTGACATAAAAAAAAAAAAAAAGACATCACTATAACGACAACCCAAACTTGTTCCTGATAGCAAAACATTGCTAAAATCTAGTTTGCACAGGAAAAAAAAAAAAAAGTTTGTTAATGAATTCAGGTACAGCCATAGTCACATCCATTAAAATAGTTCTAAGTCAAGTGTAGACAGGGCCCTGGGGGAAAAATAAAAAGCAGTGATTTCTACTCCTGCTACTGTCATTCTACTTAACTCTACATTTTTTTAACCATGTAACTCTACTATGCAAGAGACCAGAGCAAGGAGGCTTTTAAACCAGAATGTCTTCCAAGAGAGGTGGAACAGGACTTCATCTTTTTGTGGCTGCATGTGGGGTTGTTTTGCTCCTTGTCTCATTGAGGGTGGGAATTTACCTGCATTAGAGACAGGAGCTGCAAAGGAGGGAGAGATGAGGGTTGTTAAGGGCAAAGCAGGCTGTGCTTGGGCAGTGAAATCAGAGCAGTATGTGAAGGTTTCTGGACAGGGCAGGGACAGAGAGAATGGGACTGTCCAGAGGGTTCCCCGAGTCCTGTTCACTGCAGCAGCCTGCTGGACCATGGTGTTAAAACTGGTGCAAATCTTCAGTCATGCAGAGAAAAAAGAAACCCTAAAATCAATTTGAGTAACAGAACTTATGCCCTCTTCCCCCCACTTCTGCATCCCCCCTATGTTTTCCAAATCCAAAGTCAGTGTGGCACTCTAAAAGAAAGCTAAGAGAAGATTGTGTGGAGACAGAAAAATTTTCTAAAAATAAATGATCTGTGTTAATTCAAATCCATCTGTCTATCTGTGAGGTGCAAATGATATGACAGAAACTATGGTACGCTTCATGTGCGTGAACGTACAGTCATTGCTCCTCAGAGAGATCCTGATGTATTACAGTGTCAGGACTAGGATATTGAATCTTACAGCATCAATCTATTATTCATGCTGGATAATCTATTATTGCTGTATGGGGACTCTTAAAATGATAAAGTCTGTCTTCCCCAGCCACTCCTACTCCGCTCTGTGTTTCTGGAGGCAGCAGAAGAGATGACACACAGTGTATGTAGCTGATTAAGGTGGAACAAGGTCTTTTTTTACTTCTCAGCTGAGTGTGCAGTAAAGGTCCTAGATGTGCAAACTGCTGGATAGATTTAAAGCCTGCACATCCCCTCTCACATTTTAACATATAACTTGGAAAATTTGTGTGGAGGACTATGGGCTAAAATATAGCAAGACCAGAATCTGTTTTATGCCAAGACCTCATTCTGCTGCTCTGTCTTCACATACACACTTTAAAGCATTCCCCTGACACTGTAAAAGTGTCTGAAGGCAAATGAAAATTCATGCCATCATATTTCAAAGGCATATGCACCCGTATCCACACTTACCTTTGGAGCTGGTGAGACCAAGTTGTAATTTGAAACAGAAATAACATTATCTGCTTAAAAATCAGAGTTTCACCTAGGGCCCTTCTCCGCCTCCCTCCTCTCTCCAGCAGTTAAAGTTCAACTATTTCATTTGTAAATGCAGCTCTGTGATACAATCAGAAGCAAAAATGTGGAGGTGCCATTAGCTCAGTCCAGCAAACAAGCCGCTCTGGCTCCATCGTAAAAAACCTGACTGTAATGTTAACTTCTGTCATTAGGGTAAAAGATCCACCCCCCCTCCCCCCCGCAGCTCTGCCAGAGCCCTTCTCTATTCTCAGCTGCCTTTCTCTTAGTATTCTGGTCACTCAAACTGGTTTTGGGGTTTTTTTTATTTTTCTCTGTTGTGGATTTGGCAGGAGTTCCTTCATGGTCCCTCTTCCTGAATCCTCCCAAACCTCCAGGGCCTGTTGGCCCCTCCTCTGCCTGGCGAGAGACCCTGCGGATCTCTTCCTTTCCGAGTGTGCTCGTTCTGCTGGAGCAGGTTTCACGTCCTCCTGGTTCAGGAAATATGTACTGGCAGTTTTCGCTGTCCTTTTCCTTAGTTCACTGTTTGAGGTTTTTGTTGTTGTTCTTTGAACTGAGAAAAAGTGACAAGTAGAATCGGGTCAATAAATAATTGTCCCAAATTACTATATAATGCACATATTAATCACTGGGAAGAACATTTGGATTTTTAGTACAATTTCATCTCTTAAATTTCATGCACACTCTCTGAACTGAAAGGTTATCAGTGAGATTTCAGTTCACAATTGCAGCTTGCTTTGCATCAAAACAGTCCTTGGGAGACTTCGGGAGACCCTTCTGCCAGGTGCTGTACAAACAGTGCAGACAAGACACACCTTGTTCTGTTGTACAGATGGAGGTTGGAGGGCAGGACGTGACCCGTGGCTATCAACAGACATATGTGGGTGTAGAAGCAAAGCACGAGATGGGTTTCTGAAGCAAAGGCAGGCAGGGCTTGCCAGGAACCGAGGGTAGTGTCAAGTTGCGTGGATGTTACATAGCAAAGGGGACTTTTGACAAGAGGTAGGGTGTAGTTTTATAAATATTTGAGACACTCCTTCCCAGTTTGAAAGACAAAGTGAAGTGCGTTTTTGAAATTGAAGAAATACCATGAAGGACCCTTAAAGTGAAGATCAGGAGTATCTGGATGGGATGGAGGAAGGGGTACTGCTGATGAGAGCGTGAAGAGAATTTGTAAAATAAAAGGGGAAAGGACTTTGGCCACATTGAATTTAAATTGTGAGCTCTTAGAAGAACAAGCCAGACCAAAAGACAGCTGGAAAGGAAAGATGCAAGATGATCTTGCTATGTCTATATTAACAAATAGTACAAACATACAGAGCAGGTTTGTAGAGTGAAACAAGTCAGGGCTAAAGACCTGACATCCATGTGAAACACATTTTAGGAGGTTTTATCTCAGATTATCTTTAGTCAGTTCCCACAGACTGAGCAACCGTTAGCAGCTGGAGCATGTGACGTGTGCTCCTAGGACACATCTTCTGGCCTGGCTCTTCCAAAAGAATCCAGCTCATGCACTTTGAGCTCGCTGGTGTGAACCAAAGCATGGTAAGTTGGGACAATTAAATGATTCACTTCAAATGTGAACTCCTGATCCAAACTGAAGCCATCGATACATGCCTTAAAAGTTTGTCCTTCTTCCCAGCGTGGAAGCATCTTTGCTGGACTTAGGACAGAAGTGGAGAATAAATGTGTGAATTGCCAGAGAGTGGATCGTAATTTATTGGGTTTTTTTTAGGGGAGTGGAGGAGGTGTATCTGCTTTTATTTTCCCATGTGTTGTTAGGTGTTTCCAGAAGTTTAATAGTTGTTTGCACCACGTTTTAAAAGTAATCTCTCTGGCACACAGATTTTCATCACAGTGAATTGCTTGAGCACAGACTTCTCCTCACAAAAAGGAGTAAAAGGGCTTCCTTTGATGATTCAGATTGATACGTACAGCTATAACAACCGCAGCAATAAACCCATCCACCGAGCCTACTGCCAGATCAAGGTTTTTTGTGACAAGGTAAGTGGAAAGCACAATTAGCATGGATAGAGGAGTAACCTTGTTAGACAGTTTAGTATTGCTGTATTTTAGATCTAATTAAAAGTTTTTTCTTTTCCTAAACAGTAGAATTTGGACCAGCTATATCATAAACCTAACAGATTGTTGTGTAATTATTTTACTGCTTTGCAGCTTTGTTGGCCCTGATTCCTCAGCTTGTGAGCAATAGTTGGACTGTTTAAGGACAGCATGTTACAGGTCATGATACAGGAATATCAAAAAAGTCATAGAAAGCACAAACATAAAGATCTCTACTTGGAAGGTCAGTGTTGAGCATAGGCTCATGCAAGTGCCAGTCTGATGATGTTATCCCTTCTGGCTCTAACAGCCAGGACAGGTAATGTATAAACTTTGTGGAGAGGTCTCTGGTAGAGAAATGCAGCTTTCAGAAAGGCCTGCTAAGCTGTCTTTTATGATACAATGGAAAACACCAAGTCCCAATGATCCAGTGATGCAGCTGATGGTTCCCCCCCCACCGCTTGATTACAAACCGTTCTTCTGGAAGCTTCAATAAGACTTTTATGATGCTAGGATTTTCTTATTAAAAGTAAACTGCAAAAATACATTGGCCATTCCCATTTTGTAGTTCGGTAACTATTTTTTTCCTTTTTTTTTTTTTCTTGCTCACTCCTCCTTTTGCAAAATTTGGTTCTTTTACAATGGGTTTCCCCACTCCTTTGTGAGAATTGATAAGGTTTTTCAGCACCAAAACATAGATCATGCCTTAATGAGTCTGACAGTGTCATGGTCAGCTGTGTGTATCACTGAGTAGAAACAGTTGCTCAGAAATATTATCTCAGTGATGATTTTTAGATGTGAGTGTGACCACCCCAGCCAATAACTTTAACCATGCTGGGAAGGGTCTTCCAGAGGGGAGCTGATGTCTGGATTCTAGTCAAGGTTCAGGGATTCAGGAGCCTACATCTATTTAAGTCACTTGGAAATTTATCCAGATTAGTCTTGCCGTCTTACAGGTGGGAATAGAAAGGCAAAAGGCCGTGCCCCAGGCAATACGTAGCATTAACTTTTTAATGGCAGGGTAAGAGTTCAACTGTTCCAGGTCTCTGTGCTGCTGCTCCTTCCCTTCTTTTAGTTCATTCCCTTGTTGCTGTCTTGACAACGGGATCTTGAGGGCTAATCAGTCAGTTGTGTTAGTGGAGCAAAAGCTTTGAAAGTAATGAATGTAAATGTATGCACTGAGGTCTTCCTGCAGTCAAAATGTTATGCTTTTAATTGTAACTTTGAATGTCAAATATTTAGAGATTTGAAGCTACAGCTGGATGTTAAAAGCTCAGTAAATATCAAAGTAACAAGTTGTTTTTATCTACCTGTTTTTGAAAAGCAATTAGAAAAATCTGATTTAAAAAAAGGAAGGAAATTCAGAGCACAAACTCATCAAGGATGACCTGTAGACACAACTGGTAGAGATTTTGAATAATACATGTTCATTTCATCTATTGGCATAATTGGTACTTCAAATATCCAGACTAGAAAGCAGGAAATGGATGTTGAGTCTTTTAATCAAAACTGTCTCAAAGCAGAAGAAAAGATCACAGGGGTAGTTAAAGCGTTATCCACATCAAAACTATATTGAAAGTGGGAACTGGAGGAGGGCTCAAGGGTACCAATAATGGGATATATATCTGTGTAATATAGATGTATACATGCATACACGCACACAAAGCTTTTTAACTTAATGCAGGGCTGAAAATGAGTTGAATGAATGAAAATGAATGAAAATTATCGAGGTCAGTTCACATGACAGTTCATGCTAATTGGCTCTTTGAAAGAGACAGAGGCCTGCTGCTCCCCTCACTTACGCTGCTGTATCTTTACCGGCATCCGTTTGTTACAGTGCTTTTCTGAGTAAATAAATGGTTGGAGACTTTACGCTTGCTAATAGCACTGGGAGGATTTTTGGCGCTCAGAGGAATGTAGCTGGTGGGGCTGGGTACCCTCATCTTTCCAAGATGCCAAAATAAACCCTGGCGCTGGTCGGGGCCGTGGTATGTGGAGGGTCCTGGCTCAGTTTCGCTGCTGAGTCTCTGCCCTCTAGTGACAGAGCCAGGGTGTGCTGCCTTTGGGGAAAGGCCGGGAAGCCCAGCCCGTTATTGCCCACCTCTTTGTCAGGATCACTTAAAAAAAAGTATTACAGGGCCATTTCAAAAAAACAGCAGGCATATAATAATTTTTATACATTTTAAAAGTGTGAATTACACAATTATGCCCCAATCTGATAACCCCAAAGAGAAGCTGATGAGAAAGGTGCCTGATTTATTAACAATCATCTGGATCAGAGGAACTACACAGTAAATTCCTCCCACCTCAGTACTGAAATGTATCTTAGTTTCAAACATGGAAGAAAAAATGTTTCTGTGCCTGACAGTGTTCTTACAAATAGTTTTTCTTCAGTGATGATGCCTCTTGTATATTTGTATATTAGCTTTGATAAATCACAGGTAGAAGTGTCCAATTTTTAAGATGACCATTTGCTGATAATGTCCTCTAGTTGAGGACAGCATAGCTGTTGTGGAAAGAGTATTCCTGAAGAAATAAAGCTTCTTTTAGCTAAGTGGTACATATTATGTATATTTTAGTATTTACTCAGGCAGTTGCTTGAATTTAGTATTAATTTACATGTAAACTGCAGAGCAACACCAACTCAGATCCAATGTGTGTTTTATGACATAAAAATGTATGGAGATAAAGGCTGCAGAGGTTGTAATCATGTGCTTGCTCCCTATTCATTCTCCAATATTTTGTCCATGTTTATTTTCCAGTTGGCAGTCTTCAAAGTAACTGTTACAGTGCACATCTTCTTTTCTCAGTGCTAATTCTCTCTGCCCTTGCAGTCTTTTTATCGTGTGCAGATCACCGATGCTGCATTATGATAAAAGAATATAATTTTTATTCCTTAAGTAGGTTGTCAGGGAAACTTGCTACCAGGCCTATTTATATTTTTTTTTTTATATATATATCTATATGCTTTAGCCACTCTGTATGAAGGAACTAGGGGTTCAGAGATATTTTGATTTTATATATGTGATTGGCCTTGCTGAAAAGAAGCAGAAGCATTTGACTTGGCAAATACCATAACATTCCAAAATAAAATAAATTAGTCCCATTTTCTTTACTCTGAAAAACTACATGTTGTTTCAAATATATGTAGTTTCTGCCGTCTTGTCTTCAGTATGGACCATCACAGAGAAAATGGATTATCACAGGGTATTGAACAACTGTAATTGCCTATTAGTCTTCAGCTTTAGAGAGAAGAAGGCTGAAGTCTATGGGCCTCTCCTACCAGATGTGGAACGCTTTGGCCTTGAACTAGAAACAGGTGTTCACATAAGTTTCATAATGACAATGGGAGTGGTCCTTATGATGGTGAGGGCTTTGCTAGGCTGGAGCTAGAATGCGAGACAAGCTTAAATGAGCTGAAGACTTGGAAAAAAAATATTTTGAATCAGCTGGAATTCATAGGCTGTGTTTTGCTAATGGTTAGTAGCAGAAGTACTCATTGCATTTATACTAAGTCCAGATGTCAATGAAAAACTCATTCAATTATTTGACTGGTCAGAGCAGGTTATTTCTTCTTCTGTCCTGAAACTCTGGTTAATTAGATATGTGTCAGATGGCTCAGCTGTGAAACTGCAAAAACTGTCTGGCAGAAATGCTCTGAGATGCAAAAATCTTACTGTGTTCTATTGTCTCAGCACCAGCAGCAATGATGTACATCATGTAGGCTTGGCTGGCCCCTGCACTGTGCCGGGTAGGATGCTCCTAGCTTAGAAGGGCTGGTAGGTAGTTTTGTGGGTATTACAGTTGCTGCATTTGTAAAGTGGCTGTGGCACTGGCAGGTGGGAATGGCTGTCCTGCTCAGAGATTACCCGCACCCCGGAGGACTTGGGGGTGTCTTGCCTTGAATGAGGACAAAGTTGTGAAGCTTTACCAGGTTCATAGTTACAGAGAATATAAAAGAAAAATCAGCAAAACATGTATTCTTTACTGTGTACAAAAGACTGAGTCCTCAGTTTCTGCTTTCCTGAGAGGAAACTCATGCTTGCTGCTGTGTACAAAATGTCTTTCAAGGTTCATCCTGCTACCTGTGAGCAGCAGAGTGGCCACACTGAGTGGCAGGGGGGGGGGGGGGTGGG